CCGAAAGCAGCTAACCAAGCTCTCCGCTGTATGTGGTGTGTTGGAATTCGGTGAAAAATGACAGCACTATGTACATTCTCCTTATTTTCACAACCCTTTACGATGCACGTTTTAACCATGATTGTATACAAACTAGCTTCCAACAACCTGTTACTTCGTCAACTCCGCTCAAACTACTACTACCGGCGCATGTCACGTTGGTTGTAATGACGGAAATGAGAGGGAGGGGGAGAGGAAGCGGGAGCCGGGACTTTTCACGAGTGAAGATATTATTGCGAGTCGAAGTGCTCAAAAGCACTTGTTATGGTATTCCGCCATACAATATAGTCATCAATTTTAAACGCTTAGAAAAGCGCAACGGTTTATTTTGTGTCACCAGCCCAGGTCAAGTTACACTACTCGAGTAACTGTGTTTACATAGGGAAAACGTGGAAGTGTTTGGTCGCTTCTCTGCTTGGCCCATATTTAATGCATGGGCTAAGCTAAGTGCTAACATAGTTTTGCGGCAATACAGAGCGATATAGTGCACGCACTGAGACGAGAGAGGTATGTATCAACTCGTCTTAGTTAAGGGAATAACATAGTTTAATAAGTTTAATAAGAAAAACTGGTGGAGTATCCCTTTAAGCGCTTAAGTCCTGACGGAATTCGGGGAATCTTTGAGTATGATGATGTATTGAGGGAAACAGATTATAATCCCGTTCACTGTAGAAAAGGCTGATAACATAAGGCTACACAGGGAAAGTAACAATGAATGAAACATAAAAACAGCTTTTGTGCCTTTAGATATCATCTTTTCCGCATATATACTGACCCAGATAATCGTCACAAAAAACGTAATGCATGCTGAGTTTTTATGAATGAATGGCTTGCTCTAGTCTAACTGTTGCTCTGGTCTTCTCAACAACACGCGCTTGCACCCCCTGCTGGTGTGGTCGACTGACAGCAGATGGAGATTATGCTCGGTAATCTACTACTTTTCCTGCAGCTCCTGGATGTCAACGTTGAATTTACTGTCGAATTAGAACCACTGAATTTGTGGAAGCGAATTTGCAAAGCGAAATAAAATGGACCGAAAACCGCCTGTTGAATATTATAGGTTGTATTTTTAATCAGTTTGAATATTTTGGAAGTGAAATATGAAAGGTGAATATGGATTATTGAAATTTTACTAATGAAAATGTGTTTGAAATGTTTTGATTTGAAATATTCACAGCTTAAATATTCAACCATGCTAAATTTCAGCCTATAAAAATACAAGCCCTAAAAATACAATGCATTAAAATACAAGCAGGGTTAATGCAATGCATATTTTTTTCAAGTAGTGCAATTCAACAGGCTTTTTGTTTCAAAAACATTTGGGATTATTTTACTTCCATATTTTTGGCACCTTTGCTCTGTCTGAATGAAAAATTCATGCGAGATTTTGTTTCCTGCTTCCAAATGCATCCATTACCTCAGTATGGGGGTACCACCTTTTCAAAATTCTCTTCAGAAATGAACCCTCGGCTGAACTGTGGAAGAGCCACCTCCAATCTCACTTCCTTCACAATAGAGAGAGCTTATTTGTGCCTTTCCCTCTGGGTGACTTGTTTGATGAACTATAGTGATTCTGCATTCGGTTCATTTCTTTAAATTCCTGAATGGCAGAGCCTCGGCCACTGCTGCATGAGAAGCTTCACAATGGTTATGCAGATCAACGGGGAAACTGAATCTAAAGCGGCCCCCACCATGCCGATATGGATTTTCAGTCTATCAGCATGGAGACACGGTCAATCAGACAGGAAATTCAGTTGATTCAGTTGCAGTGTTGAGCTCATGGCCTCATGTTGGTTTGATCAGCGTCTTGTGTATTGTAAGCGGATTTACAGTCAAAGAACCAGATATGATGAATGAAGACCCGGGGTCAAGAGTGTAGTCAATTGAAGAAAAGTTTTACTGAAGATAGTTTGTAGTTTCATCAGGCAGAAGTCAGCTTCAAGACTCACAAGGAGTTCGTAGGCCGCCCCGCTAACAGTTACAAAGATCACAGCAATTATACCCTTCACCAAGGTCTAAGCTACGTCATTACTTCAGGTTGAATGATTCTGATTGGCTAAGAAATAGATAAACATAGTAATTTTCCACACATGGACTGATGGGCCGTAGCACATCTCCATAGTCTGTAAGACTGCCACCAGGACCCTGAGTTAGGTACCAGTGATCCTCCGAGGTCACAAGACCCTCTCTCTAGGTGCCAGCATGTCGAAGAAAACAAGTTAGTCCATCTCCAATAATGTCACTTGTTCCTTAACCTGTAACCAAGAATACTAACACAGACACCGACACACAGCTTCTTCAAGGTTGGATTTAGCCAGGCTCTAATGATAAACGGGAGAGTCTTCTCAAAACATCAAGATAATACGTTCTTTCTCTCAATGAGCAGACTGATCTCATGAAATGGCGTATGTATGACACGCCATTTTGTATTTCCTTTTTTGGCGTGCTATCAACACACATAATCGCTTTTCAGCGTGTTTATCAACGCCGTTGACTTAACGTTACATTACTGTATATATAAATATATGACCTACCCAAACCCCGTCCCTAAACCTACCCGTCACTGGGGTTAATACCATTTATGAGTCTTCCCCTACCATCCTAGGAAAAAAAATATCGCTCCCCAGATGTAGATCTACATTTTGCTTCGTTTCCCTAGGACATTTAACGGCGTGTACATACACGCGGATAGCTCAAAATGCGTATAGATAACACGCCACTTGACTTGAAAGTGGCGTGTATGTTTACGCAAAGTCATGATGCCATGTTGCAGACGCAATGAGAGGACACTTTAATCTAACAGTAAAGTAAAGACTTTAGCTAAGAAATGGTCAAACTATTGGTTCCAATGACCCTTGTGACCTATAGTCATCATGGTACCCTAGAAGAACATATACTGTATATGTTATAACACATGTTGAAGACCTTTCTCAACAAAACGAGTCCATATTTCATTTCCGGAAGCCGGGCTAAATGAGCAAGCACTGTCTTGCATGGACTAGACCCGCAAATACAGACATTAGAGAATACATGAAAGGAACATTTCAGTAATCACTCTGGTAACTTCTATAACAAAGTAAAATCTCATTAGCCTAGAGAAGTCAATCGACTCATTTAATATTTACAAGTAAAAATTTTGATTAATACCTTGATTATAATCACTCATTAGATATACATTGAAGCAGCAGTGGATTCCAGAATCCACCCCTTCAGTATAAATGTGGTCCACGTTCCAGCTCATACTGGCCAAGAAACAGACTGCTTAGACTGGAAGAGACCATCTGAAGGATGTGTATATACCGTTCAAAAGTTTGTAGATTTTTCAAAATATGTTTGAAAAAAGTGTCTTATGCTCAACATAGCTGATACAGAAAAACAGTCTGTGAAATGTTATTAATTTAAAGTATTATATATATATATATATTCCTAGATAACATATATAATGAAATTATAATATAATATTGTAGTATATATTAATAATTATCCCTGTCATGACAAAGCTGATTTTTCAGCATCATTACTCCAGTCTTCAGTGTCTCATGATCCTTCAGAAATCATTCTAATATGTTGATTTGGTGCTCAAGATTGTTTTATTTATTATTATTATCAATGTTGAAAACTGTGGTGCCGATTTAATATATTTGTGGAAACTGATGTTTTTTTCAGGATTTTACTAAGCTCAAATGAACAGCATTTATTTGAAATATAAATCTTTCGTAACATTATAAATGTTTTACTGTCACTTTATTGATTTGATGCATTCTTGCTGAATTAAATTATTAATTTCTTAATGGTCTCAAACTTTTCCAGTACGCACCATTTAGCAGTGGTCACATTAAACGATATTGTATATATGTGTAATTTAAAAAAAAAGATATGTTAGATGTGTGCAATTAAAAAAAATATTTTTGACAAGCAGCAGAAAATGTGTATGGACTCTGTAAAAAGCATTTCTACCTTTCCAAAAGTAATAAGTACTCTGAAAATAAAGTGAAAAGTTCTGCTAATGTACATCTTGGGGCCGTTTACACAACACTGCTTTCAACTAAAAACAGAAAACAGCATTTTGGGGGCCTGAAAAGGAAAACTTTGGAAAACGGTTTTCATAGTGCAAGTTTTTGAAAACGATACCGCTATCAACTCCGTGTAAACTACAAAAACGCAAATTTGTAAAAACACAGACGTCATGCACATGCGTATTTTGTGTTTAGTCTACAGTCATGCGTGTTTGGCGCGAGTGCTCTGTAGTAAAAGAATGCATATGTGTGCAGGCACATTTCTTTCTTTACAAAGTGACATCACCAGCTACTGGCCTGGCAAGCACAATACAGCGTTTTTAGTCATTTTTGATGATTCATGTTAACAGGGATCGTTTTGTCAATGTTGTCATGTGTTCAAAAAAAAAAAACGTTTCAGTTTTTTTGTACATTGTTGTCGTGTAAACGTACTAGTTCACTGAAGCACCTCAAACAAAACTCTCAAAACTGGAAGAAGTTCTTTCAGTGATCTAACTAACCTTGCAAACGTTGCCAAATCCAGCTATTTATTTAATCCCTAAAAACAGCTTGAATCAACCTGGTAAACACACCTTGATTTCAATGGATTTATACATCTAAAGAGACTTCCATTTGGATTCAAATAAAGTTTTTAAATCAGTTGATGCATTTATTGGGAGTTGAACCCTTGGCTTGACACTAGAGTTGCTACTGCCATGCTCTACTGTTCGAGCGACAGGAAGTTGTAACGAGTCAGCCAATCAGATTAGAGCTTGCCGAATTGAGAAAGTACCCTCCATTTTTGTAAACAATATGCATCAGTCGTCATCAAATGGACTGTGGGCATCTGTAGGTGCGAAGCCGAGACTAATGTGATCATGAATTGACTATTGTGTGTGATTTCACTGGGGAATGATTTTCAAATGATGTCATTTGTTAGTGATATCAACCTGTGTCTCATTTCAGGGGTGAAAGCTGTGTTCTCTGGTCACTACCACAGAAATGCAGGAGGATGCCATGATGGGCTGGATATGGTGGTGAGCTCAGCAGTGGGTTGTCAGTTGGGGAATGACACTCACGGTGTGCGAGTGGTGGTAGTTACTGAAGATGATATCATCCATCGCTACCATAGTCTGGATCAATTAACCAAAAGAGGAATGGATGAAGACCTGAAGAAATTGTTGGTTTGAAACCACCTCCAGTTAAATAATCATGCAGTCATGTCTTTATCTTCAACATTCATTATAGAAACTGAGCCGTTATTTGTACATTTAGAGATTTCAGGTTTTTTTTTGTGTTTTTTCACAGGGACGAACGTTCTTGCGTTCTGTATACATTAGCAATACATTAGCCACTTTTGATCTTTGATACTCACATCATCTGTCTCCACACTTTAATCATGCAAATGCGTCTGAGAATTCATTTAAATCACCTCATCATACTAATGGAGTGAGGAAATGCTAGGGTACAATGGTAGTTTAATAGTGCTGAACATTTTGGATGACAGTTTGATGAGTTCACTCTTTGCTCCTCTCTGCTCATTACTCTGTTCCATCTCTGGGAGGAGGGAAGAGGGGATCTCCATGGTAACTATTGAAAGACATGGCTGCGTTGACCGGGACATCGAGTCACTTGTACTGTGGGTGGATCACCGAAAACATAATTGCTGACCTCACCTCACACTTGGACGGATGCAACCGAGTGTGACTGAACAACTTAAACGGCAGACGTACAGCAATAAATACATTTTAAATGACCAAGCTCTTGTCTAAATTCAATCTGAAAAAAATCAGACCTCATGTCTTCCTCACCAGTGTCATTCATGCTAAATTAAACTGGATGTTTTCCAGCTTTCTCTGGATCTTTCCGTGTAATATTTATATGTAATGTCTAATGCTATGACCACACAGAGGGGTTCAAAAGACATTCAGTTGGAGTGAAAAGTTGAACTGAAAAAAACTGAACATGATTATCAGAATGATTTAGCATTTTATTTGTGCTCCTTTTGCTTTAATAGCGGACACTTGAGTTGCATGGACATTTGCTTCACTGTACAAAGGTGTTCACATGATCAATGTTGCAATTTTACAGTTACACTACAATAAGGTATAACTGTTAACTAACATGAACGAGTAATGAGCAGTATATTTTTATTGCATTTATTAACCTTTGTTAATGTTAGTTAATAAAAGTACATTTGTTCATTGTGTATGTTCGTTTAGAGTACATTAACTAATGTCGATGGACACTATGATTTATTGTAGTAGTAAATGTTAAAATTAACATTAAGATATTAATATATGTTGGACTATTGTTTGTTCGTTAGTAACTAATGTTAACAGATGAAACCTTATTGTAACATGTTGGCTAATTTACTTGATTAGTGACCTAGAAATCTGAAACATTTCTTATTCAGTTTATGGTATGTTTCTTTGTTTTAATTCTATAATTGACAGGTTTAATAGAATTAGATTTTGAATTCCGCACATGGTTGTATTTTTGTACTGTTCTTTAAATTAAAAAAAATGTAATGCTTTGTCTGTTGTCTCTATTTTCACAAATGAGCGTTTATTTTTAAGAGGTTTATGATTTGAATATAGGGCACCAGAATGGAACTACAATTCACACAAATATGCCTGAAATAAAAATTTGCAGCAGTCGTTAAAAATCTAGTCGCCACTGGCGAGATTTGAAAATAGGCTATTGGTGCCTCCAGATAATTGCCATTTTTACTGTAATACACTCCTGAGCCATAAATGACAAAAATATTTAGGTCTTTAATGGTCTTAACCATTTTAATCGCACTGGTCAAGACATTAGCAAGAATTACACTAATACTGTAGATAAAGTAACGTAACACGGAATATCCTTCCCCAACTTGCAGACGCCTTTTTACAGGAAGAAGAATCAAGTGTTGTTGCACTCAGTGTAATGGCTTCAAACTTCACGAGCTAGCTGAAAAATGTCTCCCAGTTCAATTGAGTTCATTTGAATATTCACTTTAGGATTTAAATCTGATGGACTTGTTCTCAAGCCACTTCTTGGTTGTCTTTGCAATTTGGGCAAAAGCATTGTCTTGTTGAAAAATAACATCCGATCATTCCTCTTTATATAAGAGGCATTAAATTACTTTTCACAGTGAAGCAGCTCACCAATACCAATAGCTAAAAAGGCTCCTCGAACAATGACACCTCTTCCAGTGGTAGAGATGCATTTATCATTATTTCTCAGCAGATTTGTAAAGACACAGCTCTGGATCATCACCATGCAACTCGTGTTTCGTTGTGATTCATCACTCCACACATAACTTCCCATATTCTGCCAAAAACATCATTCTGTCTTGGCTTTTTAAATAGTGCATTCGCTTACATTTTGCTTTTTCATCGCAATAATTTATGGTTAAGACGATGAAAAGCTTAGTGTTTGTTTAACCATTTTGGGCGTGGCCCATTAAAAAAAAAATCTTATTTTAGTAGTGTACAGCTATGAGTCTGCACATGTAATGCCTGATTCACAAAGCTTCAAACTGGCTTATGAGTTTGGGATTTGAATCAGACTCACTCGCTTAAATCATTAGAGCTGTTACTGAGTGCACAGCTGACTCCCTTACTGAACCGCGGGTCATTTTTCATTTATGTCAAACCAGAAACGGCCACTGTCTTATGTAAGACTTAAATTATTCTATTTACTGACTTCTTGTTCATATGACACAATATAGTGGCAATATATCTAAAACAAAGACATTCAAGACATTGTTGGATGGAAACGACTGTAAGAAAAACTTGGTTTGGGAATAAAACTAAGGTAGGTGACATGTTGAAACAATATTTCACTTTTTTATTCAAACAAGCAGGAATATTGGTAACACTCTACAATAAGGTTTCAATTGTTAGCATATAACTACAATCTTAATGTTAATCTCAACATTTAACCTATAATACATTTTTAAGATCCAAAGTTGTATCTGTTAAAATTAGTTATTACACTCTGAGCAAGAACATGAACATTTTTATTAACTAACATTGACAAATGTTGATCAATGCTTTATGACTATATTGCACATTGTTAGTTCATTAGTCAATGCATTAACTAATGTTCATGAGACCTTATTGCAAAGTGTTACCGAAGTATTCTTATGATGATATAATGATATTTAAATGGCACAAATACAATCAGGATCACCAGAGTGACAGAATCAAATTGGGGGAAAATAGTCCGTAAATGAATCGGCAATAGAAAGAAAATACCTTTCAGTGTTTCATCCATTACACAAAACAATCTTTCCCATTGCAAAGACCTGATTCAGTGAACCTAGGAATAAAATGTCCCTTGTCATGTTTCCTTGTGTTCTCTCTAGCTTCTTCCTGTGGCAGCTGTTGTATATTAAAAGCATCATCCTGTGCTTTTTGTTCTGATCTCAAGCCCGAGGGCAAGTAATCAGTATGTCATTCTAAGATAGCATGCAGTACTCAAGGATGTACAACATAATATGATTTGTCCAGGTCAGTGACTACACAGTCATAATGGCCTTTGTTCTTACATCGATAATTTGGATGTCACAGTAAGTCAGCTGTAAAGAGTTGCACAGGTTTCTCTGTTACTGAGTTTTTAACTTGAGAAATTATTAGGCCATTTGTCAGTTTCTAAAGCAGTTTTTCTTGCCCATCCCACTTGCTTCTGACATAGACAGGCAGCATTGCATGTAGATGAATTCAGCTTTAGAACAGGAGGACATTTGACATTTAGCAGGTTGGTTTTCTTCACACAGCAGAATGAACTCCTACACTGAGTAAATCACAGGGCATCAACAGCCTGACTTATAAACCACCAATAATAACCACCTGCCGAATGGCCAAAACTGGCTTTATAACGGCCATATTGAAGAGTAAAATATCCTTTAAACAACAGTCAATTCCTGCCAGACCAATCAATTCCTGTTTTTAAATTTAATATTAAATCCATCAGTTTGTGGGATTCTAATTTGTGACTTTTCTGCAGGTTATAGCAGACGCCAGTAGGTGTTGGCAAGTGAATGGCTGCATCCGAAAGCGCATACTTCCCTACTATACAGGTAGGTGAAAAACAGTATGTGACAAAAGATGTCCAAAAATGTCAGAATTTCACAGTATTCAGAAAAGAGTAGGCAAAAAGTACCTGGATGACCTACTTCTTCCATACTACACACATTCATATATAGAACGTACTTTTTTTAGTAGCCATGAAGTAATTATTCAAAACAGTATGCGATTTCAAATTGCTGATTCATTGCTGAAATTGCTGATTCATTCAGGAATCAAAACACCACTGTATGTTGCTCTGAAACGTGCAACAGTTCTATTAATGCTTTATTTAGAAACTGTTTGCATTGGTGTAGCGAAACAAATTTGGCAATTATTGTAAATCTAAAATGTAAGTCACTGAATATGGAGAATGTTCCGATTCAATTTGAGCAACCGAACACATTACAACTGTATAAACATTTGTGGCTAGACTGTATGACTGCCAGACCGGATGTGATCTATTTAAAACTTTGTAATTCAAACTTTGAATGGAAAGTGAGAATTACCAATATTTTTTCACTAAAATGAAATTCTTTAAATAACATTATGTAAAATGTGTGGTTATAAAAGAATTCTCAGAGATAATTATTTACGTTGATTAGGCCTAGAAAAGCTGCTGTTTCTTTCAGACGTATTGGTGGCTATTTGGTTCGCATTTGGTGGCTGTTTGGTTATGTTATTCTTCAAACACTATTCCTGTAAAACGGGTGGTTATGAATAATTTTCTCCAAGGTAATTATTTAGGTTGATTAGGCCTAAGACCTAGTTTTTTTTCTTTCAGATCTATTGGTTGTAATTTTATTATTTTATTTTACTATGATGAATAAGCAGAAGGTACTGGCTGTTTCATAAACAATTTGAAAGTTTTGGCCAACTGCCACAAGGCCCTGTTTACACCTGGTATTAAGATGCGTTTTGGTCGACCATTCAGGTCTCACCGTTTCTCTCACCGTTCCTGATTTCTAAGATGTGTTAGGCGTTGTCTTGAGGCTATCAGAGCAGAAACAAAAGCTGCTGCTCTCCTTGTGTTTTTCTCTTTTCTCCAATCGTGTTCATGTCAATTGTGTGAGCTTATTTCATCCATTAGATCGAAAGATCTGAAAATGTCCATACATTTACCCACCCATAGACCCTCCCCTCAAAGAAATCAGGACAGAAGTGGTTGAAAGTGGACAAAAGATACAGATTTATACACCAGGTGTTAACGGGAATGTGTTTCCCTCGTCTACTTGTGGTCAGATCGACCAATACACATATTAATACCAGGTGTGAACAGGATAAATTGTCAAAATGTGACAATCGTACGCGAATGTCAGCGATAGTGGAAAGGCAGCCTATAATGTCGGCATGAAACGGAAGATGTGAGTCTTTTCTTGCCCATTGTGACAAATGCCAGAGTGAAATGGCTTCTCGAACAACAACAACAGAAAAATGTACGGGGCTTGATTGTGTCCATCGTGAATTGATTGGATTGTTATGGTGTGTTGTGATCTCATGTAAATGTGACAGGTTGTCCCGACCCGCATTCACACCAGTCATCACAGAAGAGAAAAGATATTGTTGCAAGAAGGAGAGGAAGTTATTTTGATTAAAGATTACAAGCGCTCATGCTTTTTTTTATATACATAATTATGTGCATGGATAAATCCTGCAACATTCCATTTAAAAAAAGAATTGTTCATTTTGATTTCATGGTGATT